CTCCTTTTCTTTGTCATTTCCTATAGCAGTGACCTCTGACTTTTGGTGTAGAGCTTTGGTGCATTTATAACATTAGCACTTACTGAAATTCAGGTGCAGATCTACTAAGTTTGAATTTATCCAGTTGCACCTGGTTTGGGTCTAGCTGTTGTGCTACCCCATCCCCCCCGCCCGCTGCTCCTCTTGGAAGTGAACCTGTTGTGCCCCTCTGGTACAACAGTGAATATGTTGTGCTCCTCTGTTGTACCCCTGGCCCAGGGAGTGCAGAGGAGTGCAGAATCTCTTCCACACAGCAGCAGCGCCTGGGCTTAGGCTGGCCTTGGGGGTTTCCAAGAGCATAGGATAAATTCTCACTCACTCGGTGGGCTTTGGAGCTGGGCTCTGGAGGAGTGGAGGGGTTCCGAGGGTAAGGCAGAGGGTCTCACTCACGTGGTGTGCCTGGGTTTGTTATAGAGGTCCTGTGGGCACATGGGAACCAGAAGCTCTCCCACACATTCACCAGGCCTGGGTTGGCCTGGATATGGGGGTCCCGAATGTGCAGCAGAAGTTCTCACTCAGTTGCCTTGGGGGGCTCCGGAGGGGTCTCCAGGGCGTGACAGAGGGTCTCAGTCACACAGCATGCCTGAATTTTAGTGTTGCTTCTTGAGAAGAAGCTAGACTTAGTTGTTAACCTGTTCTTTAAAACCTTGAATTGAGTACACATTGTTTATTATATGGATCTAGAACAAAGGTATCAAATACTAAAAAAGGCAGAGTCTCTGCCCTCTAAAAGAGTTCATTGCTGTAAGTGAGAATTATGTATAAAGCCAATTCTAACATATGATTGCTAATTTTAAACTATGTAGTAGTGATATAAAATACAAAGGGAAAAAAGAGGATGAAGGAAATGATTTAATTTTTATTGAGGGCTTGCCAAATAGCTCAGTGGCATTAAAGTGCTTGCTTAGGACAGGGGTTCAATCCCCAGGCCTGCCATGCTGGCCCCACCCCGGGGTGTGCTGAGACTGAGATTGAGACTGGGCATGATGGTGCACGCCTGTAATCCCAGCTCTTGGCAGGCTGTAAACAGGAGGATCACTGTGAGTCAGATCTACATAGTGAAACTCTGTAGACCCTGTATTAAATGCAAAA